TATATATATATAATGTATACATTTTTTACCAATGTTGTTCAGCTACCTGATTATGGAAAAAGACATGATTATGGCAAAACTTAACTTAACTTAACTTAAATAATAATCACTATTATGGGTCCATAAAACATTTATTCAGCACTTTTGAATGCATACAGTACATTAATTCCAAGTCAAGTGCATTTTATTTTCTCTGTAGGATAACTACAACAAAGCGCATTCAGAACAAAGCCAAGGTGCTTTAAACTGCATAAACATCTAGGCCAGTAGGCCTACAACAAAATAGTGTAAATAAAGACTGTAACAGCCAGGCCTTCAACAACAACAAATGCACCTATAAGTTTGGTAACCTAACGTGTTGTTGTGATGACGTAATCAAAACGCGACAAGCACGGCGCGCAACCATGCTCGCGGCTGGCTCAGAGCCAACATGTCTGCCGCTTGGAGATATTTCAAAATATCAGAGAGAGAGGCGCGGATTGCGATTTGTAAAACGTGTTCAGCTGACATTTCTCGAGGGGGAAACCATTTTCGGCCGATAATTTTCGGTGGCCGAATATTCGGTGCATCCCTAGTGTTTACCTCAGTGATTACAGTAGACACGTTCATCCTTTTAGTTCCACTCCATTTGACGCTGCTGATAATGTAAGACATTTTACAGAAATCTTTGTGCGTTTTTGATGCGTGTGTACGTGCGTGCATGTGTGGGTCCCGCTGTAACAGATATAATGAGCCAGTGAGCTTTGTTGGGGCTGCGCTTATTACATACTGTAGTTGGAATTGAGTTTCCCATGTTTAATGTGCATATCAGTGTGTTACAAAAGAAAAACGTTTCATTGATAAAATAGTCAAGATTTTACGAAGCTGAATAAACACAGTAATTCACAAGAGGGGAGAGATTGAGAAACACATTTGAAAAATAAGAGTGAACATCTGAAAAGTCTCTTCTATGCAGGGATTTATTCCATACCAGAATTTAGTTTGTGAGAAATGCTTCAGTGGAAGGAAAAACAGCTGACGACTCTGCAACAAGGTCATTCTTATTATTAAGATAATCTGCATATGCTAATTAGGAGAGCTATTTATATTTTAATACAGCTATGGGAAATAAATGATGGTACGGATGGACGCTAGCTGCTTTATCAGATGCTGAGGTCATAACGTCATAACGTCTTCCAGTTAGTTGTAGCCCTAGTTTTCCTAAAGTCTTGTAGTTTTGTATTATTTTAGAGGCCTTAATTTGTCTTACCTGTGTGGTAGTGCAGATGCAGGTCCTGGCTGTGGTCTCCTGTGGTCATGGGGTTAAAGGTCACAGTCACCTGCATGCTCTCGCCTACATCGAGAGTCCCACAGGGGGGCGTCACAGAAAAAGGGCTGTAAAGGAATAGAAAGTTATTTGAAAAAGTGGGAAAACAAATAGAAGTAAAGGCATGACAGATAAGACTTAAAGGGCCCTATTATGCTAATTATCATATTTCATAATTGTATTTTGTGCCTCTACTCTGACATGTTTACATATTTTAATGTAAAAAAAGTGCTTTATTTTTATCGTAGACTTAATCCTATCCTGTACTGACTCTCACCTCTTTGTGTCTAGATTGAACTTGGCCACAGCATTTCCTATGTTGCGGACCAGGTGAGTCCTCTCTGTGGAGGCTTTCACGGTACAGATGGGTAAATGGAGCTCATCGCGAAAATCAAGAATGCCACGTGGCCCGATGGCAAGTATTGGTACCTCAAACCGCTCCCTCTCCGTCACACAAACCAGTCTGTGGTGGTAGTCCTAGATGAAAAAAAAAAGTTCAAATATCAAGAAATATCAAGAGATCCATACAAACTTAACACAAAAAGTAATGAGGCCCTCACTGCAGCTTTCTAGTAGCTAGTTGACCGGGACAACCTTTTACAACATTCCATGTCTGTAAAATGACTTTGCCCCCTAAGGCAATTTGTGTTTGGTAGATTATTTCTATGCTGTAACAATACTTTTTTTTTAATACCGTTGGAGAACCTGTTTTCTTACCTTTCCAATGGTACCACATTTGTGAGGAACAAGCATTTGTGGGATGAGCAGCAGAGCTAAGTATCTGGGGTGTGACCATGAAAAATTACAAATCTCTTTTTGTTGCTGCTGACTCTAGTTTAAAGTTTAGTTTAGTTAAAAAAAATAAAACTGTTACTTTCAAGACCTCCTCACCCTGGTTCACACCCGCACTGCGTAAGATGAAGCAGCGAGGCCGCCAACTTGAACGTCTTTCAAATAAATAATCCCTCACAGTCCATTACATAAGCTAAAAACTCCATCTCAATGCATACAGAGATGCTCTTATTGCCGCTAAATCTGCCTACCTCTCCAACATCTTCACTGACCCCTCCCGTAACCCCAGGACCCTCTTCTCCACAGTTAACAAGCTCTTCAAAATCTGTGCTGATAACCTCCCTACTTCTACTTCCGCTACTTGCAGCTCATTCCTCCAGTTTTTCGCAGACAAAATTAACGCCATTAACCACTCCCTCTCAGCTCCATCTGACGTACAAGCATTTCCCCAAACCTCCACCGCCACCATTTCTCCCCCCATCTCCCTTGACCTCCTGAATCTGATCGGTTCCTCAAATCCCACAACCTGCTCCCTTGACCCTCTACCCACTCCTCTCCTGAAGTCCTGCCTCCCTGTCCTCTGCCCCTATCTTGCTAACCTTTTCAACTCCTCGCTGTCCCATGGAACCGTCCCCTCTGCCTTCAAAACTGCTGCCGTTACTCCAACCCTCAAAAAACCTGGTCTTGATCCCTCCTCCCTCACTAATTACCGCCCCATCTCCAACCTACCATTCCTCTCAAAAACTCTTGAACGCATTGTAGCCAAACAAATTCACTGCCATCTCCAAACCAACCAGCTTTAGGAACCCCTTCAGTCTGGATTTCGTCCTCACCACAGTACAGAAACTGCACTCGTCAAAGTCCTCAATGACCTCCTCACCTCTGCTGACACTGGTTCCCTCAATATTCTCATCCTCCTCGACCTGAGTGCAGCCTTCGATACCGTCAGCCACAACATCCTGCTCACCCGACTCAGGGACATTGGTATTGAAGGTATTGCACTCAGATGGCTCCAGTCCTACCTCACTGAACGATCCCACTTCATCTCCCTCCCCAACCACTCCTCTGCCACAGCTTCAATCACCCAAGGCGTTCCTCAAGGATCAGTACTTGGCCCCCTCCTCTTCATCATTTACATCCTGCCCCTCGGTCAGATACTCCGCCACTTCAACCTGGACTTCCACTGCTATGCTGATGACACTCAGATCTACCTCAGCACCAAATCCCTCCATAACCCACCCCTTACCCACATCGATTCCTGTCTGACAGCTATTAAAACTTGGATG